CTAGATTTATATTGCACCTTTCTCCCAGATTGGAATAACAACAGAACTCCAATATGCTAATGAAAACGTTGTCTGTGCACATTTAGAAGAAGACCTACAAGCCACATCTAAACACCCTTGCAGAAGCATATGAGAAGCACATTATAAAAATCCATACAAAAACCATTAATTTGTATTAATTAATTGATTGGTTGCATTTCTTTTCTAGATTTATATTGCACCTTTCTCCCAGATTGGAATAACAATAAAACTCCAATATGCTGATGACAACGTCATCTGTGCACATTTAGAAGAAGGCCTACAAGCTACATCTAAAAGATTGTTAAGGAAATGGTCTGCAAACACTTAGAAACAAATGCGGTCATCGCTAATAGTCAACATGGATTTATCAAAAACAAGTCATGCCAGACTAATCTGATCTCTTTTTTCGATAGAGTTACAAGCTGGGTAGATGCAGGGAATGCCGTGGATGTGGCGTATCTGGATTTCAGTAAGGCCTTCGACAAGGTCCCCCATGACCTTCTGGCAAGGAAACTAGTCCAATGTGGGCTAGGCAAAACTACGGTGAGGTGGATCTGTAATTGGTTAAATGGACGAACCCAGAGGGTGCTCACCACTGCTTCCTCTTCATCCTGGAAAGAAGTGACAAGCGGAGTGCCGCAGGGTTCCGTCCTGGGCCCGGTCCTGTTCAACATCTTTATTAATGACTTAGATGAAGGGCTAGAAGGCAGGATCATCAAGTTTGCAGACGACACCAAATTGGGAGGGATAGCCAATACTCCAGAGGACAGGAGCAGGATTCAAAACGATCTTGACAGATTAGAGAGATGATGGCCCAAAACTAACCAAATGAAGTTCAACAGGGACAAATGCAAGATACTCCACTTTGGCAGGAAAAACGAAATGCAAAGATACAGAATGGGGGACGCTGGCTCGAGAGCAGTACGTGTGAAAAAGATCTTGGAGTCCTCGTGGACAACAAGTTAAACATGAGCCAACAATGTGATGTGGCAGCAAAAAAAAGCCAATGGGATTTTGGCCTGCATCAATAGGAGCATAGTGTCTAGATCTAGGGAAGTCAAGCTACCCCTCTATTCTGCCCACACCTGGAATATTGTGTCCAATTCTGGGCACCACAATTCAAGAGAGATATTGTGGTTTGGACGATGAGATGATGCGGAATGGCTTTTGTAGTAATGATGATGTTTTTTGATGATGATGTTTTTCGGTTAATGCTGGATTGTGGATTATTTTTATATTGTGTCTTGAATTTTAACCTTGTTCTTTCTATGTTGTACACCGCTGTGAGTCGCCCCCGGGCTGAGAACAGCGGTATATAAGCAAAGTAAATAAATATTGACAAGCTGGAATGTATCCAGAGGAGGGCGACTAAAATGATCAAGGGTCTGGAGAACAAGCCCTATGAGGAGCGGCTTAAGGAGCTGGGCATGTTTAGCCTGAAGAAGAGAAGGGGATATGGGGGTTGGACTGGATGGCTCATGAGGTCTCTTCCAACTCTTTGATTCTATGACTCTATGACTTTATAACACATTTGCAGAAGCATATGAGAAGCACATTATAAAAATCCATACAAAAACCATTAATTTGTATTAATTTCTTTTATAGATTTATATTCCACCTTTCTCCCAGATTAGAATAACAATAGAACTCCAATATGCTGACGACCACATCGTCTATGCACATTTAGAAGAAGACCTACAAGTCACATCTAAACACCTTTGTAGAAGCATATGAGAAGCACATTATAAAAATCCATACAAAAACCATTAATTTGCATTAATTAATTGATTGGTTGCATTTATTTTCTAGATTCATATTCCACCTTTCTCCCAGATTGGAATAACAATAGAACTCCAATATGCTGATGACAATGTCATCTGTGCACATTTAGAAGAAGACCTACAAGCCACATCTAAACACTTTTGAAGAAGCATATGAGAAGCACATCATAAAAATCCATACAAAAACAATCAATTTGTATTAATTAATTGATTAGTTACATTTCTTTTCTAGATTGATATTCCACCTTTCTCCCAGACTGGAATAACAATAGAACTCCAATATGCTGATGACAATGTCGTCTGTGCACATTTAGAAGAAGACCTACAAGTCACATATAAACACTGGGTTGTTGTAGGTTTCTTTGGGCTATATGGCCATGTTCTAAAGGCACATCTAAACACCTTTGCAGAGGCATACGAGAAGCACATTATAAACATCCATACAAAAACAATCAATTTGTATTAATTAAGTAATTAGTTGCATTTATTTTCTAGATTTAGATTCAACCTTTCTCCCAGATTGGAATAACAATAGAACTCCAATATGCTGCTGACAATGTCATCTATGCACATTTAGAAGACCTAAAGACCTAAACACCTTTACAGAAGCATATGAGAAGCACATTATAAAAATCCATACAAAAACCATTAATTTGTACTAATTTATTTTCTAGATTGATATTCCACCTTTCTCCCAGATTGGAATAGCAATACTGAAAATAATAACACAAACTGTTTATTTTCTTTCTTTATTGGGTTGAGATCCCACCTTTCCCCAGAATGCATTAGCAGTAGTAATGACAACAATAATAGTAATAAATATCTGCTTTTTATTGGAGGAGCCTCCCGCCATTCATCCTCTTTCCCCGCCCCTTTTCCATTCTCTCCGCCGCAAGCCACGCCCAGTGGAACCTTCCCTTCTTTCAAACCCCGGCCCCACGGCGCTCCGATTGGCTCCGGGTTCTGGAGCCAGCCACGCCCTTTGCTTCTTCATTGGCGGGGGTGTTTCAGAGAGCCACGCCCCCTTGGAGCCTGATTGGCCGGCGGCGAGCTTGGCGCGCCCCTTTCCCTCCCGCGCTGCTGAGGCGGAGGCCGGGCTGGGCCGAGGGTCCCGGCCGCCTAGCTTCGAACCCTGGCCATGGCTATGGCGGCAGCAGCAGCAACAGGGGGGTCTGCGGGCGGGGCGGCCTCGCTGGTGGGCTCGGGGCCCTCGGGGCCGTCGGGCGCGGGGATGGCGGCTCCCCCGGCGGGTCCTTGCGGGGCGGTCCCGGTGCCCATGAACCTCTTCGCCACCTGGGAGATCGACCGCTCCGCGCCCAGCTGTGTGCCCAGGTGAGGTGTGTGTGTGTACCCCTTTAAGAGGGCATGCATACATTAACGTAGACATCCTCAATGGGCAATAGAGTAGTGTGGGTGCCTGAAATGTGTATACATCCTTAAATGGCAGGTATGGGCAAAGGTTGGCCCTCCAGGTGTTTTGGACTTCAACTCCCACAATTCCTAACAGCCGGTAGGCTGTTAGGAATTGTGGGAGTTGAAGTCCAAAACACCTGGAGGGCCACCATATATGTGTGTGCCCTTAAAAACATTAAAGTACATACATTTAAGGAATATATTGTGTACACAGACTACTATGTCAATTGTATCTACACACCTATATGTGTTAACAGCCTGGCTAGTAGTCTATACACCCTGTGTATGTGTATGCGCCTTTAAATGTGTGTACACCCCTTTAATATGTGTGTACATCCTATATGGTAGTCTGTATACTCTCTCTCTATGGCTAGTAGTCTATACACCATGTGTATGCGCCTTTAAATCTGTGTACACTCTATACAGGTGTATCCCTTTAATGTGTGTGTACATCCTATATGGTAGTCTGTATACTCTCTCTCTATGGCTAGTAGTCTATACACCCTGTGTATGTGTATGCGCCTTTAAATGTGTGTACACTCTATACAGGTGTATCCCTTTAATGTGTGTGTACATCCTATATGGTAGTCTGAATACTCTCTCTCTATGGCTAGTAGTCTATACACCCTGTGTATGTGTATGCGCCATAAAATGTGTGTACACCCCTTTAATATGTGTGTACATCCTATATGGTAGTCTGTATACTCTCTCTCTATGGCTAGTAGTCTATACACCCTGTGTATGTGTATGCGCCTTTAAATGTGTGTACACATATATATAATATAATATATTGTATATACATATAATATTGATAATATTATAATGTAATATAATATAATACTACTAATTATAATATGATATTATAATTATATATTTTATATTAAATGTTACTCTCTCTATATATATTGTATATACATATAATATTGATAATATTATAATCTAATACAACATAATACTACTAATTATGGTATGTTATTATATATTTTATATTGAATGTTACTCTCTCTATATAATATAATATAATATATTGTATATACATATAATATTGATAATATTATAATCTAATCTAATATATTAATAATAATATATTATAATTATATATTTTATATTAAATGTTATATTACTAATATTAGAGTAACAATGTTATAGTACAATGCAATATATAATATTAATATTGTGCTATGGTAATAATAAAATGTATTGTGTTTACTTTTAACTTGTAAACTGCTCTGAGAAAGGCAGGATATCAATGTCGGAAATAAATAAATAAATATACACGTGTACCCCCTTAATGTGTGTACATCCCATACAGTACACTCTATACATGTGTAACCCTTAAATGTGTGTACATACTATATAGTACTGTGCTTCCTATCGGTATGTAATGCATACATATACATTTAAGAGATACATTGTGTTCACAGACTAGTATGCCAATGGTATCTACACACCATACATGTGTACTCCTTAAATGTGTGTGCAGACTGTATGTGTTAACACTCTAACTAGTAGTCTATACATATTTATGTGTATACGTCCTTACATTTGTGTACCCCTTTAAGAGTACATGCTTACATTAAGGTACATACATTGAAGGTATGCAGCATGTGCACAGATTACACCTTCTATAGTAGTATGTACACACCATATATGTGTACCCCTTAAATGTGTGTGCAAACTGTATGTGTTAACACTCTAACTAGTAGTCTATACACCCTATTTATGTGTATACACCCTTACATTTGTGTACACTATGTACATTCGTACCCCTGAAATGTGTACACATCCTATATGGTAGTGTGTACACGCTATACATGTGTACTCCTTTGATGTGTGTACAAACTATATAGTAGTGTGTGCATCCTGTAGGTATTTAAGATATACAGTAGTCTGTGCACATTTAAGCTATACATTGTGTGCACAGGCTATTATGCAAAGAGTATGTACACACCATATATGTGTGCCCCTTAATTGTGCGTGCACACCGTATGTGTAAACACCCAAAGTAGTGGTCTATACACCCTGAATATATTTATGCACCCTTAAATGGATGTGCACTCTATAAATGTGTACCCCTTAAATGTGTGTACATCCTATGTATTAGTGTATACCCTTTATATGTGTGTATCCCTGAAGTGTGCATACATTCTATATATCAGACATGGGCAAATGTTGGCCCTGCAGGTGTTTTGGACTCCAACTCCCACAATTCCTAAACTTTGACCCTTCAGGTGTTTTGGTCTTCAACTCCTACAGTTCCTAACAGCCGCAATGTTTGCCCACACCTATATATTATTCTGTATACCTTATATGTGTGTACCCCTTAAATGTGTGCACACACTACTATATAAAGTTTACATACATTTAAGGTATATACATTTTAAATGTGCATACATAGGTGTGCACACTTTTTATAGTAGTGTGTGCATCCCATATACGTGCACCCCCTCAATGCTCATACTTTGAAGGCATCCCATATCTGTATACACCCTAAATGTAGTCACAATTCTGGTACATACATTTAAGGTGTATATTCAAATCTGTATACACCTTATATAGTAGTATGCACTCACTCTATGTGTGTATCCTCTAAATGTGTGTAAATCCCATATGTGTGCATCAGTTAAATGTGTGTACACCTTATACAGGGGTATGCACCAACATGTGTGAATGCGCAATATAGTATTGTTTATATCCCATATGTGTGTACACTATGTGTGTGTGTATCCTACATGTGTAATGACTACTTGAAGTTTAGTAATTACATTTCCTGTTTTAATAATGTTTTAGTCAGAAGTACTAATTCCATTTTGAATTCCAGTTTCATGTCCAATGTCCAAATGGATGTTGCAAACCTCACTTAAAAGTTTAACTTGTAATTTCGCCACACTTTTCTCCTGTTGGAATCTTTCATCCTGTTTTGTGTATACTGTACCTTATTACTGTATATATATTTTGAGGGGATGCTCTATGCAAACGCATAATGTGATGCAAATGGATACAGTCGGGACATGGGGTGCATCCACACTGTAGGACTAATGCAGTTTTATGCCCCTTTAACTACCATGGCTCAGTGCTATGGAATCATGGGAGCTGTAGTTTGATGAGGAACCAATGCTCTTTGGCAGAGAAGGCTCACTGATGCATCTATTTTCTGTTAATAAATAATAATAAATAACATTACTATGTTATTAAGTATTTTATTTGATGTTATTGTTTTTTTATATGTACCTTTGCTCTTTTGTAATTTGTTTGGGCTTGTTCTCACGTTAGTTGCCCCGAGTCCCTTCGGGGAAATGGTGCCGGGGTATAAATAAAGATTATTTTTATTATTATTTTCTGTATTGTCGAAGGTTTTCATGGCTGGAATCACTAAGTTCTTGTGGGTTTTTTCGGGCTGTATGGCCATGTTCTAGAGGCATTTCTCCTGACGTTTCGCCTGCATCTATGGCAAGCATCCACCTCTGAGGATGCTTTCCATAGATGCAGGCGAAACGTCAGGAGAAATGCCTCTAGAACATGGCCATATAGCCCGATAAAACCCACAAGAACTTATTATTATTTTCTGTTTCCTATGTTTTAATCATATCTTTAAAATGTTATTTAATTTTTCTTAAAACCAGTGTTACATCTGGATGCAATCCATTAGGAGAGCAAGATTAATTATTTAAACAGGCTCCGCCTATTATTTATGTCAAACTCTATTATGTATCTCAAACCCATTATTTAAACCTGGCTTCTTCTTCCTTAACTTTGGAGCAGTGTGCTGTTCCTGGTTCCTCCTTGTCCCAGGAAATGTGCGCTGTTAATGAATGAGCATCAGTCTCAATGATGTGGAAGTTGCTGCTATTGCATAACGGTTTAATTGTTCACACTTTCCCTCATTTGTTCTGTTTTTCCCAGTGTACTCTTTGTTCCCACTCCTTTGTGCCTCATTGATTGATTTGCACCAGGCTCTGATGCTGATGAAGCTGCTACACACTTTCCCCCAACTGGGGACCTTTCTACAACTTCTGGAGGGGAATGCTTACAAATTTTGCTTGATGTGTAGGAGGTATAAAATGTGACCAGTGTATACAGTTATTGGGGGGGGGGGGGGTACATCCATACTGTAATTAATGCATTTTGACACCACTTTAACTGCCATGGCTCATTGCTGTGGAATTCTCAGAGTTTTAATTACTGTGTCCCCTAGGTTTATTCGTGTATTGAATATGATGCAGAATGAAATATATCTTTGAGTGTTGAAATTAAAGAGGTTTTGGTCTATGGGCATAAGGAAACCAACTGCAGCAACTGTGTAAATAAGCATAGTTACCTGTATGAGATCTATTTGTCTTCTGGCATCAAGGTATACCTTACAGTCGGTCCTTCACATTGGTAGGTTTCACTTTTGTGGATTCACTGATTTCACTCCTATGTTTTCTATAGGAATCTTTAGCTCCTCCAGCATAACTCAGTGGTTGACTTTTCCTGGATATCACCCCTTCAGTAATCAAATTTTGACGTATGAGGTATGGGTACCAACTTTGGTCCAGATGACCTCACAACCTTTGAGGATGCTTGCCATAGATGCAGGCGAAACATCAGGAGAGAATGCTTCTAGAACATGGCCATATAGCCCGAAAAACCTGCAACAACCTTGGTCCAAATCTATCAGTGTTTGGGTTCATAGTTTTGGTGTGTGTAGGATGTAGATGAACTACAACTCTCCCAAATCAAGGTGAATTTTCTCCAAAGACCTCCAGTATTTTTTGCTCGTCATGGAGGCTCTGTGTGCTGAATTTGGTGGAATTCTATCTTTGGTGGATTGCTCCTTGATTGCAGGTGAACTATAAATCCCAGTGCCTACAACTCCATAATGTCCAGACCAATTCCCCTCAAAACCCATCAGTATTCAAATTTGGGCATATCGGGTA